TGGATGCTTCTTTACGGCTCTATAGTAAGCTCCAAATTCCTCAAATTTCCTACGTGTAAAATCCTATGTTTTGAACTCATTACGGATGGTCTTTCCAATGAGATCTTTTTTATGCATATGACAATAATGTTAATCAAAATTACGCACATGAAATACTTAGAACTTTTCGAGTCTCATCCACTCATTCTAAATCATTGCCGAAACAAATTCAGGAATTAAAATAGAAATCCTCCCCAGCGGAGTCGCCAAAAACTGTAGGGAATAATTCAAGTCTTTAAAATCCCACTAACTTGAACCCCACTATGATCATACACTAAAGTACGGTGGCGTCCAAAAGGGAAGAAGATAGAGCAAAAGAGTCGCCAACAAGTTTTTTTTAGGAACTTGTAAACCATTCACGAGGTGAAGGTTACACCCCTTAACGATCCAAGAGATCGTCAACTCCATAAGGTCATGAACCAAATAAGGGTTCGGGGATGAAGGTACAAATCCAACCTAAAAGAGATTGAACCTGCCCTAATAATAGGCCTCTACTTTATTCTGATCGTATTCATGTGCGCTTTTTAATTAACATACAATCAATAGGTTTAACCCTAAACTTGTTTATCTATGTTGGTTGAATTTAATGCACAAATAAATCTGTTATTGGCGATCACTTGAATTATAATCACATTTAACCCTAAACAAGATTATTAATTATCTTATTAAGCGTGATTACAAATACCAATTCCCTTTAACATGCATAAAAGGTGATCAAGCAATAAATAACAATAAATAATCAAGCAACACAATAAATAATCAATATCATGAATAATAATTATAATAATAATAATATCATCATAAATAAAATAATTATCATCAAAATAATAATAATAATAATAATAATAATATTCATAATAAAAAATTATAACGATTATAATCATAATCATGTTCATGTTAATATTAAAGCATAATAATTGCAAGATTACGATTATAATCATAACTAGCGCCAGGCGCCAAGCCTGGTTCCAGGCGCCAAGGCCTGGGTTGGACGCTAAGCTTGATTTTAACGCGTTTTCGAAAATCCGATAAGTTTACCGTACTGGAGGATAAAAATAATATAATTTCTTCGAAAATGCTATTTGGTTTTAATTAAAACTCTGAAAAGTCAACAAAATCAACTTATCAATGCTAATTGAACTAGGAATGAAAAGAACCTTCTAGAAGAATCTAGAAGACTAAAACCATTCCTAATTGCATTAGGAATGATAAATCATATTAGGCCCTCCCCAAGATCATTGGGCCGTACATAAAGCTCAAACCGGGCCCAGTTTGGTAATTTGGCCATAATTTCCTCAGTATTCATCGAAATTAGGCTTATAATATATCGTTGGAAAGGTCTTTGCAAGCCCCATCCAACTACACTACTATTGGACCCATATCATGGACCAACAAAACTAGATTGGCTGTTTTCTTAAAATAAATTTTCAAAAACAGAAAGAAGAGAAAAGAAATTAAAACTTTCCGCAACACTAGACCTTTCCACACTTTCGTTTCATTCGATTATGATTCAACATGAAAGGTACTCATCACTGGGTTTTGTTTTGGGGAGACACAAATGGGTGTCTACACTAATCTACTACTTTATATCTTATATTTTTTATTCACCAAATCATATAATTATGGTATTTTTGATTCACATACTCCACCATATCTTTAAATAGCACAATACATAAATTTTATTCTTTATAATTATTAATATGAATTATTTTATTAAATAGGGTTATTGTGATACAATATATATTTAAAAAAACCCAATGAATGTATTACTGTTGTTGTTGTTGTTATTGTTATTGTTATTGTTATTGTTATTGTTATTGTTATTGTTATTGTTATTGTTATTGTTATTGTTATTGTTATTGTTATTATTATTATTAATATTATTATTTCTCAAAAACAAAAGTCATACAACCTACAATAAATTAGTGGGAAGCCGAGATACAATATGGGCCCCCACTCCTCTATCTATAGCAAAGCCTACCCTAGTGAATATGTGAGCTGCAGCACGAGCCCCAATGTCTTGCGTCGTCGAGAACCTTTGAATCCGCTTCAGCAACGTAACAACCTCCTTCTCTAAATCCCCAAGCGAAGAAAAGGAAAAGGGAATGAAACCATATCCAATCTCCTGACAACGAGCTTCATACTTTACCCGCTTCCGATGAGCCGCATCATCCACAACCCGTCTCGGAACAAGGTCAAATAGCCTTGTTTGTGTCAAAGGAGAAGACCCTGTGAAGTCGACACATACATCACGACCACGATCCATGAATAAAGTAACACATCGGCAGGTCTCAAAAATTATTATTATTATTATTATTATTATTATTATTATTATTATTATTATTATTATTATTATTATTATTATTATTATTATTATTATTATTATTATTATTATATCTCAAAAATAGATTTAGTCATACAACATATAAAAAAATTAGTGGGTAACCGAGATACAATCTGGGCCCTCACTCCTCTATCTATAGCAATCTTATCCTAGAGAAGATATGAGCTGCAGCACGTGTCCTAATGTCCTGAGTCTTTGAGAACTTCTGGATCCGCTCCAGTATTGCAACAACCTCCTTTTCTAACACCACAAAAGAAGAGAAAGAGAAAGGAAGGTAGCCATATCCAACTGCTTGACAACTGTATCCGTACTTGACCCGCTTCTGTTTGGCTGCATCAATAACTACCCGTCCAGGTTCAAAGTTAGATAGCCCACACTATGTCAAAGGAGAAGGCCCTGTCAAGTCAACACATACATCAGGAGCACAATCCTAGGAATAAAGTAACACATCTGCAAGTTTGAAGACCCCGTCGTTGTTCCCTCCAGATAGTCCAATGTCCACCTCCTTTCTAGCTGAAATCCCGACCGATAGCAAACATCAACAAGGGTATCCCGAACAAAATTATGCCGATATTTAATGCCCACAATACCAGCACAAGACACCGCGTGATCACCGAAAATATCCCCATAAAAAACCCTTGAACAAGTAGAGCACGACGTCGTGATAGAGAACAATGGAACACCCAACCGGTGTCACAGTGACAAGTCTTAGCATTCATCATCTGACCCAACCCCGAAATAGGGACCACTTGAAGTCGAGCAAAGGCGTGATCTCCCTGATGTGATTTCCATAATGCTGATTTGTTGAGGTGTTGAAGAATAAGCAGATTCTGCAGAAGCGATAACCTTTGTGAAATATATATCTGCCAATTTCTTCATGAGTTTAGGGGCAGCGACCTCACTAGGATTACTTAAATTGACATACTCCACCGTTCCGTTAAACAAACTCAACATATCCTCAAAGGCTCGTCCAAGACCTACAATGTCTACATGCCGTAGAAGTTGTGTCTGCAACCCAACAGACTGCAACCGAGAAGCAAGAAAAGTATAGTGACAAACATCACCTGCAAAATAAACACCAAAAGCCCTCCAAAAGCAAATGGTAAGGTGGAAAGTTGTCACTGCCAATTGCCAAACCCAGGCCCCCGATCTAAAGCAGTAACAATACACTCCAAGGAAGATCGAAGAGCCCCATCGAAGTGCGTTGAGCCGCCTCAAAAGTACTAGGAGGACAAGTACGCAATGCAAAGTAGAGTTTAGAAACTACGGTACATGCCCTAAGTAACAACAGCTCACACTGAGGATCATCTAACATAGCGACCTTATCCATAAGGGCAATAGTCTTGGTCACCCTCTACATCACAAGCTCACCATTAAAATTAGAATCGAAACTAAAGGGACCACCAAGCAGCTTAACACATATATATATTTCATTATTATTATTATTATTATTATTATTATTATTATTATTATTATTATTATTATTATTATTATTATATTGAGAAAGTTCAAAATAGTATTTTTATTAGAAATCTTCCTACTTAAGTACTAATAACTTACGAAGTATTTTTCCTAAAAAAAAAACCGAATTATGTCTTGGACAAAGATATAACATTGTTTTATTTAACTCTTGGACAAAAATAACTATTCTATTTTTAAATTTTTTAGCTATTTATTATATATTTCTTATTTATGTATTCCATTATGACAAAAGTGTATTAGCTGCACCATACTTTAAGTTCTAGTGCAATTTTTATGTTTTTTTTTTTTGAGGGATTTTTTTATGTTCTTAATATTTTGATTAGAATTTTTTTTAATATAAAATTGGAATTTTGTTTTTGTTTTTTGTTTTTAAATATTTTAATTGGTTTCTCACCTAATTATAATATATACGAAGAACATAATGGGATGAGGGGAGTATATAATATAGCTTAACATTATAAATATTATGAACTCTAATCTATGTATGTAATTTTTAAATTTTTTTCTTAAATATTTTTCATATTTTTATATTTTGGTTATGGAAAAAAATTTGATCAAATATCATTAAAACGAGATTATTATTCCTACCCATTGGGTGTATTTGAACAATAAGAAGAAACTAAACGCAACCTAGTATATGTTATAGCTGTGTCATGTCGATTATAGTTCTAATTAAATATATATATATATAACTTATTTTTTTAGGGTTTTTCTAATTTGAAAAGACATGGGTACACCTTAGAAACTAGACTACCTTAGGGGCATAGCTTAGAAAACCCTTTTTTTAAATTACTGTGCATAGCACGGGTCCTAAGATATATATATATATATATATATATACATATACGGGGTGGTTCCGCTGAAAACAGGGCTCATGCTGAAAACAAGGCTTATGCTGAAAACAACAAATCTCAACCATTCATTATTAGCACAAAAGATCAGACGGTTTAAAATGCCTAAGATCTTTCCAACCTTACATATAATCAATTCGATCGTTTTAAAGGTCACTACATACAAAAATAAAGTAACTTTATCTAATTGATGACATTTACATAAAGTCACTATATTTTAAAAAAACATAACTATATCAATTTTGACAATATTTACACAAAGGTCATTATATACAATAATAAGGTAATTATATCAATTTTGACAACATTCACATAAAGATCACTATGTACAGAAATAAGGTAACTATATCGACTTTGAGTTTTTAACACCATTTACATAAAGTTCACTATGTACAGAAATAAGGTAACTATATCGATTTTGAGTTTTTGACTCTATTTACATAAAGGTCACTATACACAAAATAAAGGTCACTATATACAAAAATAAGGTAACTACATCAATGTTACAATATTTAAATTAAGATTGCTATATACATAATAGCTACGCATTCCTGCAACAACTAACAGCCACCTTCATTCACCTAGCCAGTCGTAAGCACTCCAATTTACCACAAGATCAAGCATCACAATTAGCCTTAAGCACTCCTACTGTAGGTGCCTTCTAGCTCTTTGACATACTTCCAGCAGAGGGTTTTCTAACCCATAAATCTTATCAGAGTACTTATCAAAGTCCTCCACAAATCGTAGGGTTCTCTCAATAATAACAGGATGATGAGGAGTGTCCTTGTTATTGAATATCTTATCATTCCTACAACCCCAAATATACCACATTAGAGCCACGCCTTTTCGCACCAATTTGGGATTAAATTTCTGCCAGAAAACAATCATGCTTTACTCCTTATGACAGCCAAACAATTGTGTGCAATTAGCTGCATCCCACAAGTCTTTGACAGCAACACAATCAAACACAGCGTGTGTGTGTCTAATTCTGTCACTACATGCTGCGTCTGTCCAATTCTCCATTTCAATTAAAATCAACAAAAACAAGTATGCTCAATTTAAATCAATCAAGCACCTTAATATAAAAAATTAAACGTGATTATCTTAATTTAAGCTATTTTCATCATAATCAAACATCCACGTTACTAACTTTACCCAAACTTAATTTACTAAAATCAATAACACAAAAATCGTGTTACTAAGAAGGTGAAGAACAACAAGAAGAGTAGAATTTCGAGCAAAAATTACACATAAAGACTAATTTACTAAAATCAAGCAAAATTGAACAAAATACAGTTAAAAAATACTCATATAAAATTGAAACATCCAAATCAAATCGAAAATTTCCCGATAAAAAACGACCAAAATTACACAAAAATCATTAGAAAAAATTCAAAATTACACATATGCATCTCAAACTACTTCGACAAAACTAAAATTTAAATCGAAAATCAAAATTCAAATCGTGAAATCAATTTGATTTCAAAAAATAAATTATAGAAAATAAAAATTTTAAACGAAAAACCTAAATTTAACATGGCTCAAATACAATGATAGGAAGAAATTAATGAGATTACAAATATAAATTCACTAATTCAAAGCTAAAATAAAGAAAATTCACTCAAATGAGGCTAAACTGATAAAAAAATTAGCAAAATTATAAACGATTTACTCACTTGAATTGATAGATCGTAGACGATAATATCAACCAATTTGATGAAGAATCGAAGTAATTATAAGATTTACAACTGTGATTTGAAGAAGTAGAATGTAATTTGAAGAAGAATGGAGAAAATAGGAGAGAGAAAGGTTGCGGATGCAAATGAAGGAGGAGAGAGAAACTAAATGCTTTAGTCTGAAATTGTGGGAAAAAATACATCCGTAAGATATGATAGTCAGAGATTGATTATAATCTACGGTCAAGATTTGTTGTTTTCAGTTTTCAACTTAAGCTTTGTTTTCAGATGATCCACTCTCTATATATATATACAAATATGGTCCTATGTCATCATTTACTATTCATATGTCATCATTTACTTAATTTTCTTTACTAATATATAATATACAAATATGGTCATATAATATTATGTTGAATTTGTCAATTGTCATAATGTCTATTTTTATAAATTATTTTTTCATAATTTTTACTAACCTCTAATTAATTATATTAACGGTCAAAGTTATATCTCGACAAATCTGCAAATCCAACTCTATCTTATAGAAAAATATAAAAATAAAAATTAGAGGAATTAAAACTAATTTGTGCATGCATGATTATTACGAAAACGAGGGAATACATTTTAATACTTAATAGTATTCATAATATATGCTATTGGGTCACCAAAAAAAATAGTATATGCTATTGGGCTTCAAATTTATAATTTCTATTTTCTTAAAATTCAAGTTAAACCTTTTTGATTGATAAAGCAAAGATTCTTAATCCACCAGTCAAATGATGAATATATACTATTACCCGACACCTTCACGTTTTCGTTAAAGTAAAATATTCATGTTAGTTTAATTACGAATTTAACCCCTAGACTTAGTATATAACAATACCAAGCCAAAACTAAAAAATAAGGAGTTGTATTCAAGCAAATATCATAGAAAATTAGTTGAACACAGATGGATTATCAAAGTGAATCCATCGAGGTGATACGGCTCAAATCATCGAAAGGTAGATACTTAAACGCTGATGAAGATGAAAAATCGATCAGCTTCTATTATCATCATGATAAAGATAAGCCTATACCACAAAGTACAGAGTGGAGAGTGACTTGGTTAGGGGCTCAAAAAGTCCTTCTCAAGAGCATCTACGGCAAGGTGTTCACTATTAGACGACGTCTAACCTCGACGGCTGGGGCGCCGAGTACTGCCCACACTGTCAATACTCTGCAAGTCTTGATTTCGATTTATTCGAAACAAGAAAATTGGCCTGTACGAGATGGTGCAGGGGACTTTTACGTTGAAATGAAGAACGCGCTAATTGATGGTACTAATAGTGTCAAGGAAGTTAAGGCTAAGCTCATGCCTAAACATTATTCTTCTTATACCTTAGAAGATCTTGATGGACTCTGCCTCAAAGGTAAGATGCTAAATTATGTTCAAACTAAATTCTATACCATGCAAGGGTGGAATTTAAGTAGTGCAGGGTGGATCGTCGAAGTTGTTCATCAGACTCATATTCGTAACAATAACAATATTGTTAATAGTAATAGCATAATTCATAAAAATATTGCTAATAACAGTAAGGCGATACCATTTGATAAAAAGGTGGCGCCACAGCAGGGTGTAGTGCCGGCGGCGGCGAATATGTATCAGGTTGGACAAATGATTTTTAATGTCCCAGATTTTATTCGTGGTGGTAATGCTGGTATTGGCGGGTTATTATCTTCGGCGAATTCGGGACATAACACCAATGGCTCTGGTACACAGACTAATGGAGATGTTAATGTGAATACTAAGATTGGTACACAAGAACATGCTTCTGTCGCCTTTTACACAGGAATGGACCTGGCAAGCTCCCGATCCCTATAGCCTTATTGTATACGAAGTATGTATTATTAAGTTCGAATTTTCTTTTGCAGTAATAAGTACGAAGTATGTATTATCAATGCAATACCAGTTGGTGGGGAACACATCTTGTGAGGTCACGAGTTTGAGCCCCATCAACTACAAAATGCTTGGAAGTGGGGGGATTCCCTTTTCTCTCCCTCTACTCTCAAGCGATGACCTGTAGAGCTAGGCTGACTAAATCTGTGAGAGGTGCCAACTCAGTGGGGTCCTTTTTACCTTGAAAAAAAAATGTATTATCAATCCAATATCTTGTCTAGTACATTGAGTAGCAAACATCAAGCTACCAATTGCACTAGCATACTCTAATTGTGTAACAGGTGTTCCACAATTGTTACTTAGTTTACATGATTTATCATATGGAGTTATTATAAAGTTCTTTTAATCTTAAAAGCTCAAGTTTTTTAAGTATCTTAATGAGACTTACTAAGAGAATAACCCCCACACTTATTTTAACGTTGATACTCAAAATAGTATCAACTTTATTTAAGTCCTTTATCTTAAAGAATAAATTCAAATCATCCTAAGTTTCATAAAAATAAGGCAAATAAAAAAGAAAAGATGAAGTATATGTCTTCTATGTTGGCTCCAAAAATTAGCATATCGATATAAAGACATAAAATGATACCATAATCCTATGTAATCTTAAAGTATATACATATTAACATATATCACTAATAGAAAATAGTAAATTGGCACTAATTCAGAACGGACCCTAGGCATCATTTGGAACCAATGCCCCTTGGAGAGTGCCAAAAATAATGGATAAGGCCGGGTACCAATTCAATATTGGTGTCCATTTCTTGAAGTACTTATTTTTTTTGACATACTTTTTTTTTTTTACAATATTTTTTTGGACATAGTTTGCCTTACCTCTTTTTATTTTCACAAAGTATTGGGTGCGGCAGCCGCAACGTACCCGATGTTTCATCAGTCGAGAAGTATCATCGTCATCTTCTTACGACGATGAAGAACAAGTTTCCACCCGATGAGAAGTTGGCGGTGGTTACGACGAAGGGGAGGAGCGAGGTCATCCATGACAGAAGAGAGAAAGTTTAATTGCTTGAGATTCTCGGATTTTTCGAAAAAATGCCCAGCCAAAAAATCTAATTGGGGTGTTCTTATGTGATGTATAATTGTTGGAAGTTGATTGTCACATATGATTGTATGTTTAATTGTGAGAATTTTAATAACATACACATGTATTTTGGTTGAGAAATAGCAACTTATGTTATACCCATGACCTTGAGTACGAGATCTTCAGTGGAGGTTCTGCCATTGTTATACATATTCTCAAACAAATTATACATTCTCAAACAAGATATACATATCCTCTATTGGCTATATGATATCATTGTTAGATGACATCCTCTGTCGGCTATATAATATATTTTATGATTGTGCCTATGATATTCTTTATTGGTTGGATGTTATCCTCTATTGGCTATATGGTATCCCAGTTAGTCGAAATATCATTAAGCCAATAAAGGATACCATATATCTAATAAAGGGCACCATCCAGTTAGTATAAGATATCATCCAGCCAATAGAGAATAACATCTAGCCAATAAAGGATATCATCCAGTTAGTAGAGGATATCATCTAGCCAATAGAATTATCATCAAGCCAATAAAGGATATCATGTAGCTAATAAAGGATATCATCCAGCCAATAGAGAATATCTTCTCGTCAATTGAGGATATCAAAATCCGCATTTTGTTATTCCAGATTGACACAATACTTTCTAATATCTTTTTTTTTTCATGATTCTAAAATCTTTTTATATACTTTATTTGCATGAATGTGTATCTACTACTTCCTCCGTTCTTTTTTACTTGACCCGCTTTGGTTTTTATACTATTAATCACCTCTCCTTTGACCGTCTTTTGTGAATGACATGTAAGGAAAAATATATTCATGTGGGGTCTTATTGAATTCGTCTCATTAAGTACTATCGTAATATACAATTTTTTTATAATTTTTATTTGTGGAGAATTAAAGTTATTAATCGCTAAAATTTTGTATTGACAAACGTGATAAAAGAAATAGTTCAAGTAAAAAAGAACAGGGGAAGTATCTAATAACACTAATTTTCTAGAGTTATATTACAGAATTATATTGTTCGGTCCCTTGTAGTATATTAATAATATTTCGATGTTTCCTAACCCCCTCCCCCCTTTGCTATAATAATTTGTATAGAATAATAGACTTAGAATAAGCATTAATGCAAGTCATTAATGTGATTTCTGTTATACTTATTTATTTTTTTTTACACCATTTGACTTTTGGACAATTCACCAACTACACATTGACTAATTTTTTGATCAATAGCTAGGATAAAAATAAATCATAGTAATGTGCGATCTTGTTTGAACCATCCATGTGTATATTATTAATACCCACTTTTATGATTTTTACAATGTTTATAATTAGAGATATTAATTGAAGGTGATTCAAGCCCACCTTCAAGCGTCCCCAGCTCGTCAAGTGCCTTGTGGGCATGAGTTGCTATGGAATCAAGTTGCTAACCTTTTCTTTGATAGCTCTACTATTCAAAGCCCGGATGTGGGTGTTATTTATATGTTATGTATGAACCCTATGCTTCTAAAATTTAACTGTGATGTGCTGCTAGCCCCGTGACTGCTAGTAGTTTGCTGCTACTTCTAGCTCTAAGGGGCCTTAGCTAATATATTTACCTACTTTAATAAAAAAAATATTAAAATAGTACATTAACAAGTGTGATAATAGAATGACGGCTGCTAAAAAAACGAAGGTAGTATTATAGATTTGCAATGAACTCATGTCCTGCTAAAGAATTTCACTTTATCTGATATAGAAAATTTTTTGCAAACCAATGGCAGCATACTTTGAAAAGATCCCATACCTTTTCCAAATGATATGCTCATGTTAGAAGGAAGAAATAAGTTGAACCAGGATGAGTTGCAATATGATATATCATCATTACAACAATAACATGAGATTCTTTGTATTTGTTTATTAATAATTCTAGCTAGTAGTGTTGGGCCGGGTTGTTGTGGCGATTGTGGTGTTCATTTTTCAGGTGGGTTAAGAGAATGGGTCATGAGTGTGTAAGTGGCTGGTAGGGGTGAGCATGGGACGGGTACCTATACCATTAGTACTAACGATTCGGGTACCTGTATACACCTAAAAATGTCTCCCCAAAACCAAACCCGATGATGAACAACCTTTCACCGCCATTATTGGTCGGGTTGAGTTTTTGATCTTGGAGTGCTTAAATCCATATTTCCATTTTATAAACCAACCCAACTTCTAGCCCATTTCCC